GGCAGCTAAAATCGCATTGCGCGATACGTAATATTTATTCTCCGTGACGAGTATTTGCAACACGCAACCACAGGCAGAATATCTTTGTCCCCCCCTTTCCCCCCCCCGGTCCGCTCTTGCCCCTCCCCGTCTACCCCTTATATAGATTGGGCAAATTTTATACTGTGCGCCAATCTGGAGAACCGTGCATCTTGTAGCAGCGCCTGATGCGGCTGATTTCGCAGAGACGCGGCAGAGGAGAGTTGCACCACTTCGGGTATAACATTGACAACAGCGGCGATATGACTCTGCCTAACAAATGAAGCGCTGAGAATGAGATAGGTCATTGTAGACCCTGAACCAGGCTCACAAAAGGACCGACTGAATCAATACACTTTGCCAAGAAGTGTTTCTTAGCTATCTCTATGAGAGCCATCCAAGTAACAGTGCTTACTCAACGTGTAATGTTGAAACGACATTGAATAATACTAACGATACGGATTGAATGATATTGAATAATGTTGCCGATGTTATTTTGCGCACAATTGCGAATATCGAAATGCAAAATGTATAATATATCGACGAGATAATTCGATTAGCAAAAGAGTAAGATATCTGGGACAAATGCGCTTTTTCCCATATTATTCCCATTATGTTTGCAATTTTTTAATAATATATCTGATTATTATAATATATCTGATATTTAATAATATATCTGATTACGTCACAATTATATTCCTTGGAGCGCCCAAGTATCTCGACTAAGATTAAAGATATATCTCCATTTGTCTTCTCTGAAAACTCGTACAAATTCACGAAGTTTATATACGTTATATTCAAATAACTTGCACAATATTCTTTTCTTTGTACTAATCTTTTTTTTACATTCTTTAAATATTTTTTTTTAGAATTTAAATTTACTTCTTTTCTAGCGCTTTAACCTTTTCATTCCCAAATCATTTAACAGCTACAAAAGAATATTTATTCGTATTTTTGTACATATGAGATTCATAAAAACATTTTGAAAACGTTTTGAAAATGTTTAAGAATTTTTCGACATATTATTTATTGTACACATTTTTATCGTAACTGTATGTATATAATAAATGTACTGCAATGTTATTATACGTAGAAACCTATATATTACGAAAATTTTATTTTTTCTTTGACAAATCCATCTCAAATATTTCAAGACAGTTAATTCTGTCTAAACTAATTTTTATTACCAATATAATTTAATTTTTATTACCAAAACAGCAAATAAAAGATAATGATACTACGTGTGTGTGTGTGTGTGTAAATTTAAAAGTTTTTAAATATATATTAAAATATCTGTATAAGCGTAAAATCCTTACATCTACATAAGAGTATAACGACTTTATTTATATTCGAATCACAGATATACAGTCGAACTTCGATAACTCGAAAATCACTCGAATTTTTTCCTTTAAAAGCCATTATAATCTGAAAATTATGAATTCTCGTACAAAGCTTCCATAAGTTGAATTTTCATGTTGATTCTCTTTTACTCAAACTTCGATAAGTCGAAAGATTTTTATAGCTCGAAGATTTTTATAACTCGAAGATTTTTATAGCTCTTCCCTTAAGATTCGAGTTATTGAGGTTCGACTGTATTAAAATATAGCAGTGTGTGTGATATTTTATTTCACAATTCATAGCCATAGCTATAGTGAGAACGAACGGGTTAAACATTACATGTCAAATGATTAAACAATAATCAGCAGGGATATTAATTTAAAAAAACAATTTCTTCAGTCAATCATTAATCAATCTATCTGTTTCATTAAACGGCTACGAAATAATGGAATCTTCACGTTGCATGCAATCTATTCGAAAATATATATCGGGGATATCGTAAAATTAATCGTGAAAATCGCCGTATTGAGACGTCACTCGCACTCGCGGCTCGGGTGACGTCGGATTACCCGTAAATTTGTTAAACGTTTGCATAAGTCGTCGCCACCGAGATTTATGCGAGCCGCTTCTATATCTTCTACGGATCGGGCAAGAGAGCCTCTCGCGATCTAAACGGCGCGGCGGCGGCGGCGGCGGCGGGGACGCGGCGCGCGACGGCACTACACCGAATAGATTGGATTTATATCCCACTCATCCTCACGTCGCGTCTCTCTACCAACACTCTCGGTCCGATTACCGGCAGGCGTATTTCTTCACATCCACCTTTCATTCGTAACTACAAACTCGGTAATTGGTTCGATACACTTCGGGATCCGAGGATGAGATCAGCGTTGCCCTGCCAGCGATGAGGCGCCTTTTTTTTCATCCGATCAGACGGTTCGAAAGTGCGGCATCGCATTTCGAAGGCCGTCTTCGAGATCGAATCGGCCGGTGGCAGAGGGAGGGCAAGGGGGAAGGGAACCCGGTAAGATCTAGCGCTTCCCGCGGACGGGAAAATGTGTCGAGGATCGCCGGGGAGCCCGCCGGCGCGGCGCGGCAGATGCACCATGCGAATTTTCCTAGAGCTGCCTCGATCTGCCGCCGCGGCATCGTGCAATCGCATTCTTGCTCGCGCGTGCAACGCGTCGGACGCGTTCTCGCCGCCACGTGCCTGGGATTCTTTTTATTATACCTACACGGAGAGTATATACGTGATGTCGAAAATATATGTCCGCGCCGACGGAGGCCGATTGCCCAATCGCCCGACGATGATTCGCGATAGTTTTGAGAAGCTTCACACTCGCCTCCGCGAGCGCGCGGCGCGAAAACGTTTTCTATTTTTTTTT